CTTAGCAGTAACATTGCTCAAAAACATTCCAGTGATTCACAGGTCCTTGAACATGCATGACTCCTGAGAAGGTAACTGAGCAAGCTCTGAAAACATACAGCATGTTCCCACGAGGTCACAACTGCATTTGTCAAACAGCATGTACCCATAGTCTCAAACAAACAAGATGATCAATACTGCTTTTTATATTATCAAAGTGTTGGGTTCAGCCTGAAATTGCAAATTCCATTGGCAATCATGTATGTAGTCAGATTTTTGAAGATGTCTAAACACTGGGCAGCTTACGTCATATCAAGATGCTGTTGCATTGGGGAAAGGGATGAAAAAACATGTTATCTCCACCTAGCCCTTTGGATGTTCTGCCAGAGACTTTTTTACTTGTGCTTTTGTGTATCATAGAAGACATCTAAAATGTTACATGTAGTGTAACCTGTTTCAGTAAGTGAGAAAAAATGTTGAAAGCGCAAGCCTTAAAGCCCAAAGTGAAACTATGGCATGGCTGTTGCTATTCAGAGGGCTTGCAGGGCAGAAAAGGATTTAAAAAAACCCCAAAAAACAAAACAGGCATTCTGTTTTAAAACATTTCATTACATTCTAACATGCAAAACTTACAGGAATGTTCCCCAAAGTTATCTTACTTCAGTGTATTTTCTAGAAACACCTCTAGACTTCTGTAACATCCATGCAAAACAGAGTCGTATTCTACCTTTAGACACTTAATGCAACTCCACTAACAGAAGGCAAGCACGTGCAGCCGGAGGCAGCCTTTGCTCTACAACTACAACTGCAGGTAAGCTCTCCAGCAGTTTTACAGCCACGCTGAGTGTTTGGACAGCTTATAGGGCGAGCGTTTGTAAATATCACATACACAGTATTAAAAATGAAAGCCCTGTACTTCCTCCCCTCCCAAATGGTTTTAACTGAAATGATTTTAATTCTGGGGAAGGAGAGGAACTCAGTTACAATAGGAGACTAGCTCTTTGTTTGAAAGTAAGCAATCCAGCTCCAAGTATATGCGATTCCAGGCTTGCTACCAACAGACGTTTTGGAGTTTACATTATTAAAAAAAAGCAAGATTTAGAAAAAAAGGCAAATGAATATCTGAGAGAATAATTCAGGATATCCAAAGTTATCTGAAACACCAGCCTTTCTAATATTTTCGTGTTTCTTATCTCTGAGGATTGGTGCACTTATCAGGGAAACTTCTCAAAGTTACTTAAGCACAGAAAGTGTGTTCGGTCTGAAAAAGTGATTCTTTAAACTACATGTACCAAGCATTCTCCAGAACATCCACACTGATGTTAGTATTGGGTTATAAGAATTACTTTAATCAGGAACATGGAAAAGAGTCTTCCTGCAATGCTTCTCATGGTGGGCTAACTGTATGTGTTACCAAACTGGGAGAAAGCAGCTGCTTGTAGCTCTGATCAAGATCCTGCTTTACTTTTCAATATAAATTTTTTACTTCTCTTGTACCATGTCCTTTGGAATTAAAGGAATGAATTGTAGGGAATGCTAAGATGGATTGGTGTGTGGTATAAAAATCTGCTGGTTTGGAGAGTACAAAGTGGGATAAAATAAGAAGTTATAAAAATTAGTGGAAGCCAGAATGGTAGTAGCTGTGGAAGAAGGTAGAGGCATTTGTACTTCTTCATCAAAATACCAATTGGTCGTAAGTTACAATAAAGGCAGATGCTTCAGAAAAGTTTCAACAGCTGTTCACCCGCAAGAAACAACACTTTCTAACTTGCTGCTGTTAAAGGAAAATTAAAGGTAAGTGTTAAATGAAGACAGAGTAAAGGGAAAGAAAGGGGAGGTTTGTAGTCTGATTGTTAGCCACACAGCTATGTTTTATGATACCTGGAGGGCCAGCTGATAAGTGAAGGTGTGTCCCCTTCCGAATCTTTCTGAAGAAACCATTCAGGTTTTGCTTTCCCTGCACTACTACAGAAAACAGAACTTCAGGTAATTTTTGAGATCTTAACACATACTCCCATTGTTTCTCCCAATCTTCCCTCCCCACTGCTTTTTTTGTTTTCTAATTACTCAATTACAGAGGACTGTTCATGAAAATAAAAACACATCACATTAATCAAATTGAAAGTTGATAAACTGTGAAACAAACTATCATATTAATTCCACAAATATCTAAAAGGTGTTCTGAATGTTAAATATTCTGCAAAGGTAACTTTACCAAGTGTACATTGCCCAGAATTTGAGAAGTGAAAGCAACTAGACAATCTTATTTTTGCCATGTGCCATTGCAGGTCAGTTGGAAGGGTTTGTGTAAGGACACCTGGAAAAGTTGCTAAAACCATTACTTTAATTTATGGTTTAAAGTGGTAAAGACTGCTGGGTCCAAAACAAGGTAGTTATATGAATTTAATGAAGTTAGAAATTCAGATGGCTATATCATTCTTCCTAAGAAATTCTCAGGAGCAGCTGGAACCCCTCTCTCCTCTTGTAGCCCTGTGTCACAAAAGCTTCAGAAATGAAAACCCAGTTAGCTCAAGTAAAACATGCCATGTCACTGCGTGACACGGGAAACAAAAAACTTAAAAACAAAGTAACCCCTAGTCTGATCTTGTCTTGACTTTATTCTGTTTCCATTTTGGAGCTGAAAGCATAAAAAGAAACAAGAACACTGCAAACTTAAAAGCCCTACAGGAAAGGGTGTCTGCAGGCTACCTACATGCAGTTTCTCAAATACTTTCCTAATGCCCACCTTCATCTACAGTCCCTCAGCAACAGTCGATCACATCAAATACTTTTAACCTTGCAAGCACAGACTGTCCAGCCACACTAACATTTACAAACTTCCTGGAGGTGACAAGCGGCCAGGCTGCTTTCCATTACCTATAGCTACGTCTGAAAGAACTCCTCGCATTGCAGTGGAGCCATTTGGGATGAAAATCCCAAATTAAGCTCCAGGTCATCTACTTCAATTTTGCTTAGCTGGTCTTCTAATAAAAATAGTTGAAAAAGGTCAAATCAATAACTGTTCTTGAGATAACTGCATTTACGGCAAGCAAGTTTAAATTTGAGAACTCACCTACAGTTGTCACCTTATCCAAACCAAGCTTGGAACAAAGTCAAACACTGACTATTAAAACACCTTTTGTTTTTCCAAATGTTTTTGAAGTCCTAAAGGAACTGACCAAATAGGAGGTAAAAACCTTCCACAGGAGCTGACCCGGTAGCTAGAATTGCTTTGAAGCAAACTAACTTCCTTCTTGTCTCTTAATGTGTACTTTGGCACATTTTTATAGTGGGCATGGCCCAAGCAGCAATTATTTGTACTTGATCATTCATCCTTTGAAGAGAGCAGTCAGAAGAACGCAAGCCATGTTTTGAATTTAGAGTTAATCAGCCACTTCAGCAGCCAAATGCAGACAATGTCAAACAATACCTTCTCAGCACTTTGTTGTCTTCTCAGTGATGGATAACAGGATTAATTATTAAATCGTCTTAGGACTGAAGGCACAAAGCTTTCATATGTATTCTGAAGCAAGCTGCATTTATTTTCTAATTTGAACTCAGCAAATTTAAATTTAACAAAAACAATTTTGCAACCTATATAATGTGGAACTGACTTCAAAACTGCAGCCACCTGGAAAGCTGGCGTTAGCCCTTATTTCGCTTGTGCAAATGGCCTCATAGGAGACTACCACACAGTAACTTTAAACAGACTGCATGGAAATAGGCAATGACTTCTTTACCACTCAGAAACAGGGACAAGAGTTTCTGAGAGGTTATTCTTAAATCTCTGAATATCACACCAGTGAGTACGCACTGGCACTGGAAGTTGTCAGGGGTATTAAAATGAAGAACAGGCTCTTGGCAACTTGGTCTTTAAAATACCACCGACTGCCTAGACGCGTATCCAAACAAGAGACCAAATCCTCAGTTTAAACTCTTGGCTGCTGTAAGAGCTACACCACATCTTGGTGGGTGCAGATGATTTCCTTCAAAAGATCAGACAGACAGTAATTGTGGGAAACCCGTTTTACACAAATACTGACCCAAGCCTCGTCCAGAAAGAATCTGGAATTAGTGATAATGCAGTCAGCAATTTGTATTAAGTTATGGCTTACTACTGCTGCTTTTGCCCCAGTCTCTCATTTGTTAGTATGGCACTACTGCAGAGCAGAGAAGTAAAAATGACCATACCACAAATGGGATGGAGTTCAAACTCTGGAACTGTCCTAACATCAGAACCCACCTGAAAATGGATCTCACCATTTCATTATCTGGAAACAGAGAACACCTAAGTCTCAAAAAAAGGAAGACCTTGCAGAAGGGGCCTGTCTCCAGCGCTTGCCAAACACAGCTGATCCCTTAGCGTTTCACACAGCGTTAGATCTCATAGGGACATATAACTCTTAACAAATGAAAAAGTATGCCCCCATTAAAAACACTGTTTCCTTAATTATTTATCTTCTGTCTAACTTTTGCAGCATCTTCTATTACAAAAAAATAGTTAATGCCAGAAGTGGCAGCTTTAAAAAGACACAGCTGGAATTTGTGAATGATTCGATAATACCTTCAGCCTGCTCAGTCTGAACTTGTAACCGGTTTATAGAGCTGCGTTAGAAAAACCACACTTGTCAGCTGAAAATGAGAGCGCTTTATAAGGAGACCTGATTTCTCCACATTAAAGGTTAATCTATGACTGGGCGGATTCAGGTGTCTCTCTATAGCCAGCATGCTGTTTCACCAATGCTGTGTTCAGCACAGCTTCTCCTGAGTTGGAAGAGGTAACAACCTAGAAGGCATTTTGTTGTTCAGTGTTTATTGGTTTCCCCTCACAGAAAAAGGGACAAGGATTGCTTTATGAGAGTAAAGAAAATAAAACGTCTTTTTACACTGCAGCAGACACATTCTTGGCTATAAAGTTTGATGGGCCATTCTCTTTGCTTTCCTAAGGCTGAAAACTTTGTCCCTTCCTTCACCTTCTAAAACAACCATCCGGCCAAAGGCCCATTGCTCCAATATCCCTTCCTATCAGTAATTGGATTAGTCAAGAGATTTATCGCAAACTGACCATTTGAAGATAAGGGATAATATTTTGTAGTATTTGAGTTGAGACTGCTTCGGAGACAAGTTTTTTGGAGCCTGGAATAACCTAGTCAGCTCAAGGAGTTTCAATACAACTCTGATCTCTGTTGTATGGATGACCCTGCAATGACTATTTTCCTTACTGTTGTAGCAGAATTGTAAGCGTAAAGCATAAACTAAAGATAAGACGTACTTCCTAAGTATGTTGACTTACTTTCCCTCTGATGGCTTTTTTGAAATGACAATATTCCTTTAACATTTTGGCTTAATTGGGAGAGTCCAATGATAGCTCATATAGCCACATATCCATGCAAAAGAAGGTGAGCAGGATTAGAAGTCACCTGAATAATGAAAAGCTATGAAAAAAATATTAAGAGACTACTACTGGTGTGTCCTATGCAATAAAGTGAAACAAAAAAGAAGGCTAAGTACATCTGAGCAGTTTACAGGCACTGTAAATAGATGACTTAATCAATTCCACCAGGTGGTTAACCTTTGACGTGGAAGATTGCTTCCTCATTCAAACTTTAAGGTATGCTTATACGAGTTACTAAGAAAGGCCACAACAAATAAGAATTAAGTTTTGTGATTTTGATGGGAAGGATAAAGTAGTCCAGTCAAGGTAGCTTGTTTCTGAACCTACTGCAAAAAAAGCCAAAAACTGTAAACGGTTCAGTTTATGCCCGTTCATTTCAGTTTTTTAGAAACAGTCAGCACTACTCAGCATGATGCAGATGTGTTTACAATTAAGTTCTCATTACAATTTACATCATTTTTAGCTACAACATTTTAATTTAAGTTTTTACAGTTATTATTTTCCATTTATCCACCTACCTAGAAATAAGAATCACACTTAGAGAAAATCATACTTTTAAAAAATTCTTAGTCATGTGTTGTTTTCAGTCACCATAACATTTTGACAGTCTGTTTTTGCACTACAGTGTGAAACTACAATGTGAAATTAGTGAATTTTTTTTTTTCCTTCTGGAAGACTCTGGTTACCCTATTACTGGATTAAATTTGTCAAATCTGAAGTAATTCAACATACCATGAGGGAGGCTACATTTTCCAAACTCAGCATGGAATTTTAACTCTCCCCTCTGCCCCTTCACACACATACCCCGATATTATCTGAAAGATTAACTATCACAGTTCAAAAGGGTTTTTACACTTTCACAGCAGGGAAACAAATCAACTATTATTTCAACTGACCCAAGACACTTTTCAGCTTTAAACTCTGAGACCTGTTTTATTTTGGCAGAAGCCATCATGAAACTATTCAAATCTGCACTGAGAAACAACTTGCCTTTACTTGGAAGCCCCAACCCAAACAATTACAGGCTATAGAGGAAAAAAGTTAAAGTCTTGCTCTAACAGGTTATGGAAAAAAAAAAAAAAAGCAGATTTAGAACCATAACTGCTTCAATTTCTAGTTTGTGTAAACATCTTAAACATCAGTTATTCCACTCCCCAACCCCCAAACCCCCCAAAGGGCCTAATTTTAGGCATAAATTCATAAATATAAAGTGAAACCAAGGACATATCTAATCCTAGAAATAGATACCCACTTCCTTGTATCAGAAACACACTGTGATTCAATAAACCCAACCAATCCAGCCTGAGACATCCAAAACCACTAAATATATTCTTGAAGGGTAATAAATACATTCCCATAAATACTGTAGACACTGCTGCAGAAGATGATTAAGATAAAGGAATCTACTGTATAAACAAACAAATAAAAATCATGCTTACCTTTGTCTGATGTTACTGTGCAAGGGCTGGTCATTCTGCAAATGGATTGGTGAGGCTGCCCGCTTTGGTGAAGAAAGGGACTCTCTGGGGGTTTGCTTTGGTGATATTGGCACTTCGTTATAGGAGGAAGATTCTCGTCCAGAAAGTGAAAGGCAGACAGAACTATCCAAGGTTGCTGAAGAGTCAGAAGCCTGTCTAATGGCACTGTCATCATCTGCTTTTCTGTCACTCTTTTCATTTGAGAGGTGGTCTTTATCTGGAACACCATCTTTTTCACGGCTGGAGTACTCTTTGGATTCAGAAATCACACTCTTTGACTCCTTCGTCTCAGTCCTGGACAAATACAGGGAGCCACAGTCCTTGTTTTCATCATCTTGCCTTTCACTTTTCACTCCCTTTCTTTCCACGCTGTCGGGATCTTTCCTTGCCCGCGTATATCTGGATGAGTAGTCAGAATCCAAATCGGAATCAAGAGATAATCCGTATTTTTCTGCCAGCTGGCGCCGCCTCTCTGCCTTGTACCTAGCTATTCTTTCTGCTTTTGACTCTAGTTCCTGGACATCCATGTTTCCTGTACTATACAAGGGCTCTGTATTACCTCCTGTGATTTCTGCTCGGTATCTGGATGATCTGGGTTGTTTTTCTACAGAAGAATCTGAAGTTTCCTCCTCTTCATTTGATCTTCCTGTCAAAAGTACAACATATATGAGCAAGTTCATCCCAAAACTCCGAGTACCCTACCCACTATTCACATCGAGTGAACTAAAAGCTTCCCATTTTCTTACAAATCAAAGTGTACTAGTGACTGCACAGACACATTACATTTTTGCACTTACGTCTCCAAAAGTACATACAAATGATTAAGAAATGTGTATTAGTTATAATTCTTTAAGAGTCTCATATCAAATTATTGTTGTTTTAAAAAATATTGATATCAACCTTTTTCAAATAAGACAACTGGAGAATTAAAAGGCAAGTTAAAAAAAACCCTGACCACAGCTCTTCTATAAAACTCTTCTCCATGTACTGCGTAAATGATAGCGTAGTAAACATGAAGTAATTCAGTAATGCAAGATTGACTGATACCTACTACTTACCTAAATGGGGACTGTATGGATCAGTTGCACGCATATATCTTGGCGTATCTTCCTCTAGTAAACGGTGTGTGACTGATCCTGGACAGTTTTGTAGAAGCATAGGTTGTGTATCATTTTCAATTCCCTCTAAGCGTCTAGCTATTCTCTCTTTTCTGAAAAAGATGTGAAAAATGTGAAATCAGGCACCTTTGAAGATTTGTGGGGAGAGTTTCTAAGAGGAGGTAACAAAACAAGCTGTGTGTTTTGTTTTACAGGCCAAAGACTTTCTTTTTTTTACCTTTTCATTTCCAAAAAATCTTGGTTGTTTGGTTCAAACAGTTTTCTTAATTCTGAAACTGAGACAACAAAAGATTATACAGTTTGTAAGCTACTAAGTTTCAGAAACTTGCTAAAATGCTTTAGAATAAGAAGGAACAGTCAAATAAAGTTAAGAGGTTTGAAATAGCTTTTGTTGGGGAACAAGCATTTTCCTCTTGTTTTCCTAGTTTATTAAGCTTGCGTTATCAAAAGTGCATTAGGCACATAGGTGTAAACACCAAGGAGTCCTCCCCTCCAGACACTTCCAGGCTAAGCTAGAATCTGCTATGCATCCTAGCAGTTTTCAAGATCTAGTATAAACTGGGCAAGTTGTATTTTGATTAGCTGAGGTCAAGCTTACATGCTGTAGTAACTGCTTTCAAAACCAGGTAGTATGGAATTACTGCCTACCCTGTCTACACAAAGGTTGGGGACTGACTATGTTTAAAGAGAAACAGTGTCTCCTATTCCTTACTTTCCTCCACTCCCTTATATTGAGCAAATCCCAAGAATCCCAGTGACTCATGGTTGGAGTGAAAATTAGTGTACCCTCATGATACTCCTGCATGGTTAATCACTTTCTCCTCTGCTAATTTTCCCTTGTAGTTTTAATTGGACATACTTTCCTTCTCTCCCCCTAAACTGTTTGGTGGTGTTATGTGCTAGTAGACAGCTGTCACCGTTCACAAAATAGTAGTGAACCAACAGGAGGCATGATAGATTAAATAATCCCTATATATACACACATATGTGCACAGTTATCAGTGATGTTTGCAAACCACACTGGAGCAGTGAGTACTACATAAATAAGTGTGGTGTGACTTGTTACCACCAGGAAGAGAAACCATCCAGGCTGTCAAAGGATGCAGTGGACTGGGGGGCGTGTGGGGTGTAACAAACCCCTACACACCCCCACCCCCATCCATATCATTGCCTTGGCAAAGATGTGGTGCTAAAAGCTGTGTGTGCCTATTCTGATGCAACACTCCTCTGGGGTTCTGATCCTGTTGACCCAGGAATAAAAAGTTAAAGCAAGCTAAAGTCTACAGCCTGCTAAATCAGCCCTAGGTTGCCATCAGAAACACCAGATGAGTCAGGAGTTTCTACTAGACACTGATCCACACCACTGCAGAAGTAAATCTATCCGCTTTTTTCCCTACCAGACTTCATCGCTCTAGATACTTAGAAGATGAACATTATTGAAACACCACCCTTTTAAAGGTCAGATGCACCTTCTCTCCCTTTCCTCTACTGCAAGAACTTACATGCATAGCTAAGTCAGGGTTTCAGCTTAGCTGACACATATCCAGGAAGTTTGCTGTAGTCAATACCAGTGCTCATACCTCATAGATACAGATAGGTACTATTGACATCGGCTGTAGTATCAACCTTATGTGCTGAAAAGGTTGGACTAGGACTCCAGGTAAAATGTCTTGGATCAGAAGAATGAATGTATTCTGATCATGAATGCTGCTCAGAGCAGCAAATGAATGAGGTATAAATATAGCATCTGAGGCTACAGATGAGTGCCTACTGAGAATGTGCGATTAACAGGGGAAAGAAATCAGCTGGGCCACTCTCCACAACAACTCCTTTAGTCTACATTTTTACAGAAAGCAGACTCAAGCTATCCGCTTCAATTTCTCAAGACAGGTTAGCTCAGATTGTAATCATGCCATGAAAAAAATTTAATATGTACACATTTGATGCAAGTAGCAGTGCAGAGTAGCTAAGTATGCAGCTACTTAACAGTGCTAACCCAAGGGACAACTCTTCCACGCCCAGTTTCAGCATCTGCAGCAAAGCAGACTGAAGCCTATGCTGTTGACCAGGTTGACAGTGCAAGATAATCACTGAAAGTCAGCAAGCTCCAGGCACAGATATCTGGAGATGGATGGGAACTGGACTAGGGCAATGCAAAATTTGCATCCTGAACCAACACCAAAGCAAAGATGAGCCCTTACATTGTGTTTTCATAGACTTTTCTCTCAATGCATGAGCAGTTCCTGCTGCTGCCCTGCCTACTCAAGCTGTGCTAGCAGTGGAACCGTATTAAACAGAGAACTTATCCATAAGAAACCAACCTTACATTCACATTCACACCAAAGGAAATGATTTCTCATAAATATTTTGCTCTCAGCTCTGCCAAATCTACTTCTGTTTTTGTTCCTCTGTCTATTAGTTTTTCTGTTCCATCTGTTGGCTATACATACATAAAATGGTCAAAACAAACCCCGTAATTGTTCTGCCACTTCAGACAGGTCAAAGGCCTCCACAGCTCACAGTTAATAAAACCACATTCCATCCAAATCCTGATCATTTTTCTTCCCCAGTCACCGATTTATACAGTCCCTAAAACCATCATCAGAGACCAGGTCTTTTACACAGCTTTAGTAAAGCTCTAAAACATAGCTTCATATACTAAAGTCGTCCGTCCCCGTCCCCCCCCCCCCAAAAGACCCCCCCCCCCCAAAAGGAAACTTGACTATAAAGTTGTCCGCTACAAGAAATGTGGAACATCCAAAGAACTCCCAGCAGCATTAGTTCAACACCCTCTTGCTACGTGTTAGCTGAAGTTCCAGAGATTCTACTACCGCTTTGCAGTCCTAAAAAAGAGCACTGGCCTCATGAAGCATCTCTCCAACACCTTCCCAAACAAGATGGGACAAAAATAGCATGGGACTACTCTGTGCTGCCTTACACTTTTTCCACACTTGAGATTCCAGACAGTAATTTCAGCTAGGTTGGCCAACATCTGCAGAGCTCTTTTGTGAAAGCAGTTTTGGCAATATTCTTCTTCCGGGGAGGCGGGGAAAAGAAGCACAAAAAAGCAAAAAAAGAAGACAAAATGCAGAAGTCTTCTACTCTAGTGATTTCTTTTTGCTGAATGAAATATTTGACTGCAAAACATGAAAGCCAGTTGGAGAAATTTCACTCCCAAAGACACTGGTTGGCCCTTGCAAGCTTAGGTGATCGGGTTTCTCCTTTTTAGTTTGCAATTTGAATACGTTGGTGCCAACTTCCCATCTGTTCATGGGATGTTTTTCCACATGACCATCAGAAATTACACCATTTCAAAGACACCCATGACAGCGTTAAAGAATAACAACACTTCTACCTAAAAGGTAGCACAAAGATCTGATTCAGCACACAAGAAAACACTAAGAAGCTTAAAATAATTAATTTCACAGAAAAAGCTCCTTATCTAAGTTACTTCAGGCTAACACACTTTGTAAGCACTGTTGGTCAGTATAGTTAAGGGCAAGAGGCAGAACAGCCACAGCCCAGGAACAGCCCTGAACTTCAGGCTGTATTTTAGGATATTGAGCAGGATGCTATGGTAGGATACCCTCTAAGGTAGACTCTCAAGAGGCATCTTAATTTTGGTAACTGTAGACCTTCTGAGCAGAATTTACCTTATAATACCAGTATTTAGCAAAAGCAGTATTGTTCCATGTCTCGTCCCAGAATAAAAGACAAAAAGTACATTTGGAGTGTACCTTATAAAAATGTTTAAAAAAACTCCTTAAATTAAGGTGAATGATTTCTTATAGAATTCAGAAATCTTTCAGAAACATTTGTTACAGAATATAAATATGTTTTTGCTGAAAGCCCTCTTCGATAACAGCAGAGGGGATATATGCGGATAAAGTTGCAGGCATGTGACAGTTTTATTTTTAAAATACAGAAGCTGTAAAAACTAAATCAAGCCTTCCAAAAGTCCCTAGTAGAGAGTGAGCACATACATTTGTGAAGCCTGAATATAGGTGGATCAAAAGTTTACCTGCCAGAGGCTTAATTTCTCAGAGATGGTAAATAACCATTGTCATGCAGGTATATACATTTTCATTTTGAGGAAAATTTAACACAATAGTGAAGCCTACCAGACTTGTTCCTACCTCCTCCTCTCCTCACCTGGAAAGATGATGGTCTACAAACCAGGTTGGAGAAGCATTTATGTTCTGTTTATGCTAGCAGAGGCATACTAACATGTTCAATGCTTAACTGCAGGCAGCAACGTGTGAGACTTCAGCTAGACTCTTTGAACCTCAGTTCAGTCTGTTTCAGTTGAAAATTAAATATATTCCTCTGATTTTCCAACATGTGCAAATCTGGATCAGAGTTAGGCACTAGATGGGACAAATAACCTGCATTTTCAGAAAGTGTTTGGCCTCAAGTAGCCCCCTCAGTATGTAACCATCAGCTCCTACTGCTAACTTTTTCTTAAGTCTGGTGCACACCAAATCTGATGCCTTTATTACAAGAATAATTTCTTAGGAAACAGAGATATCTTGGAATAGAAATTAGTTCACTGAGAAGCAACTTACAGAGAAGGCTTCTCAAGTGAAGCCTCTCACAATTAACTTGTTGGCCAGCATGACTGTAAGGCTAAGTATATGGAATAATGAGGGACTACGTATTCTTACTGACTAGTGCTCTCACAAAGACTGTGTTGTATAAATGCATATCGCTCTATTCCATCATTATGTCAATGAAATCTCTTTCTGAACATCTGTAATGATTACATTATAAAAGCAAGCACATCACTTAACTATCACTTAAATGTTATGCTGGAAGAAGGGCTCCTTTCTAAAGGACCTCTACAATAAATGACATGAAAAGAGCAAGCCAGTTCCTTTATATTTGGCTTAGTGCATCTACCCTGGTAGTTTGAAAAGGGTAAAAATACCATCAGAACACACACACAATTTTAATCAAGGTTCTGAGATCCACAACATCCCTGAGTGAAGGGAACATCTTTATGACAGTTACACGTAGTTCTTCAGTCAAATGTCACCCTTTACTTGTCAAGAACTATTTCCAAGCAGATTGTCATTTCCTCTAAATAATTAAAGAGAATTAATTCTCACCTCTACCTCAACTGTGTCAGAAGATAAAGATGGAACTGCTGTTTTCTTCATAAGTTATTCAGACTAAGACAGAAGTTTAAAAAAAAAAAAATCCCCAAACCCATATGTAGTGCAGGTCCTTTAGCATGCAAGATTAAAATCCAGCGTGTAGTCAGTTGGTCATGCAAGCACAGCGATTCTACCAACCACCGAAGGGGACTGCAAAGAGTTATGACTACAAGCCAAGTTAATACCTTTGAAATCAGTATTAATCTAACCGTACAAACACTGAAGTTTTGAATTTCAACTACTTCTTAACCTATTGAAAACTAGGTAAACAAAGCTGAACTTTATGAAGTAGGGATGTAACAAGGTCTTGTAAAAGAGCATTGTAGTTCATCCTGTTTCATCCCCTATGCATACTTCACAGGGAAAAGAAGACTCATTTACAAAACATCTGTGCCTAAGTGATTTTAACTGTGCCTTGCACTTGCATAGACTAAACTTCACATGCTGTTAAATTACCACTTGTGTTCATAGTGTGTCTCCCTTACCTACCTTTTGGAAGTACTGCTAGGAGATTAGCATCAATATCCTTTGTGCTGTTTGCAAGTTCTTCTTTATCTTCAAATGAGAACTCCTTCTGAAAACTGAAAGCAACATCTGGTTTACAGAACTGTGGATGTTTCTGCTACAAATCAAATAAAGCCAAGACTTAACCAATTTACTGCAAGATAGTCTAACAGAGATACCAAAGAAAATATTTTCCATAAGAACGAAATAAGAAATAACCCCAAGAAACTCACAAAGCCAAACCTAACATAATCTGAAACTTGTTTGGAACTGACTGTGACACAGTTTTGCATTAAATTACTGACCGGAGACTGCCTTCAAAATGCTCTACTAGCAATTACATTTGAAATAATCTATATCGAATGATTCTCCATAAATATTAAAACATATTTCATCAAATGCAGTACTGTATGTACACTCCAGCTAGAAGCCTTCTGCACGACTGCCCTATTGTTGTTACTGCACTGATCTCTGGATCTTATATGGCTTATAATACACTAGTATGAGCAGCAGATCATTTAGTTTTATACCTTGTCTTTTCAAAACAGCAAAAATGCCCATTTAGATGAGACAAAATATTTCTTTAAATATGTTTATTAAATATACAAATTTTAACTGTAAAATGTAGGTGTCATAATGGTCTAAAGTAGATACTGTCTACAGAGTCTTTTTGGAGGAAGTGTTCCTCCTTGTGGGTAAACAAAGCGAGATTTTTCTCTCCAATTATTACAAATAGAGAGAGAACTGCTGTATTCTCCCATTATGACTTCTAAACCATCCCAACCAGGTGAGGGAAACTTATACTAGTCTTAAAACCTTTAGTAAACTGTGTAGACAGGTGTAACATACAAATCCCCACAGTGATCCCTAGGCTCTTCATTTTGCCATGGTAGTGATGTGCCATATGATTTACTGTCATTCTGATAAGACAAATTGCACAGCCTTACTGTTGGAAAATCCTTCCTTAGGACAGTTTTTAAATGGCTTTTTAAAGAATTGAATACCCTTTCATCACATGTATTTGGTTAGAAAAGAAAAAAAAGGTTAAAAAAAAAAAAATCTGTACTCACTATTCCAGAAGAACATTTCTCACTGAAAAGAGTTTTAACATATAATGACTAATAAAATTTTACATGAACTCCAAGAAGTATTTGCTTCTTTATCATTTATAAATAATATTCCTTTGTAAGACGACATTGAGGAGAGAATAAAATCCTTGAAATGACAATAAAGAAACTGGGCTGTGTCACATTCAGGCAGCATGCCACCTGCTGCAAATCGTCTCCAACAACTGCACTTACAGAAATTATTCCAGGTACTGCCAAGAAAAGCAATGTTATCCACTACAGAAAATAGCAAATAGAAGATGAAGAGCTGCAATAAGCTGTCCATTACAGAAAACTGTGTAACCTTACAGGGCAAAAACACTTCAATGGAACAAAACAAAAACCAAAATAAATTAAAAAAATAGCACACAGCAGCCACAAGCAAATAGATGCATGTGTCATCTGAGACTGTGCAGACACTCAGACAGTTAACTGCGTGTTTCTATATGTCTAACCCCACATTCCAAACACTCGTGATTCTTATTAGCCTCACAATATGTTATTTTCTTAGAGACACAGCTTCTGCAGAACCCCTAGGCGGAGAGACTCCCAGTTTCCATTTGAAAGCAGTTTCTACTCCTTTTGGCTGAGGATCAGTTTGAAAAACGTGAATAATATTGGTCTAAGGCTATAAATCAAAACCAAAATTTATTTTGTCAAATCAATTTGATTACTTAAGACTTGTCTCAAAAGTGCTGAGGGACCCAGCTCATGACTTCTGAATACCTGGGCTTTATTTAGCAGCACCTCCAATTGCTTCCATAATGCTTGTGACAGCGCAGCACCTTAAGTTTCCATAAACATGGGACTCTGTACAGAAAAGCATTCACTCATACAGCAAAATCCTTGTTTAAATTAACTGTGCACTAACATCCACAGCTATGCCTCAGTCCCACACGAAAAAATCTGTATCGCTATTCCAGAAGAACATTTCTCACTGAAAAGAGTTTTAGCATATAATGACTAATAAAATTTTACATGAACTCCAAGAAGTATTTGCTTCTTTATCATTTATAAATAATATTCCTTTGTAAGACGACATTGAGGAGAGAATAAAATCCTTGAAATGACAATAAAGAAACTGGGCTGTGTCACATTCAGGCAGCATGCCACCTGCTGCAAATCGTCTCCAACAACTGCACTTACAGAAATTATTCCAGGTACTGCCAAGAAAAGCAATGTTATCCACTACAGAAAATAGCAAATAGAAGATGAAGAGCTGCAATAAGCTGTCCATTACAGAAAACTGTGTAACCTTACAGGGCAAAAACACTTCAATGGAACAAAACAAAAACCAAAATAAATTAAAAAAATAGCACACAGCAGCCACAAGCAAATAGATGCATGTGTCATCTGAGACTGTGCAGACACTCAGACAGTTAACTGCGTGTTTCTATATGTCTAACCCCACATTGCAAACACTCGTGATTCTTATTAGCCTCACAATATGTTATTTTCTTAGAGACACAGCTTCTGCAGAACCCCTAGGCGGAGAGACTCCCAGTTTCCATTTGAAAGCAGTTTCTACTCCTTTTGGCTGAGGATCAGTTTGAAAAACGTGAATAATATTGGTCTAAGGCTATAAATCAAAACCAAAATTTATTTTGTCAAATCAATTTGATTACTTAAGACTTGTCTCAAAAGTGCTGAGGGACCCAGCTCATGACTTCTGAATACCTGGGCTTTATTTAGCAGCACCTCCAATTGCTTCCATAATGCTTGTGACAGCGCAGCACCTTAAGTTTCCATAAACATGGGACTCTGTACAGAAAAGCATTCACTCATACAGCAAAATCCTTGTTTAAATTAACTGTGCACTAACATCCACAGCTATGCCTCAGTCCCACACGAATTTCCAAGGGTAAAATCATACAGAATCACGACTGGCACTAGCCCACTGGTTCTAAAAAGAATCGCAGTATTGGATTGCTTGTGGATCCTCAAAAAACTTTTAAATACCGTAAACTAGTTAGGTTCACTCCCGCCCCTTCCTCCAAACTCCAGGGAGTCTAAATGTCTTTCGCTGGTTTCCATCCATTTGGTTCTCATGCCAGTGTTGTTGGTTACCTTACTTATTTTTCTTAACAGAGTTTTCCACATCTACTCAGCTTCCTCAAGACAAGCTCTCAGTTTCATTGATTATGTGTAAAAATACTCTCTACCTGTTCCAGTTTTAAGTCATCCTTTTTGTATATGGTGCCCAGAATTGGACAGTCTTGATTCCAGACCTGGGTCTTAGCAGTGTCTTATAAAAATGGGAATTTTAATAGAGAAAGCATTATTACATGACTCGCCAGATGAATGCTGGGATCTACCACACATTTGCCTTTTTATAACTACACTATATTGGTTGCTCAATCCCTCATGAGAAACTAATATGCCAAGGCTTTGCTTTCATCAGTTGCAAGTGACAGAAAAATTTATCAGCCACCAATGCACAACTGTGCATTTAGTATTATTACATTACATCCCTTTTCTATTACTCCTCAAGGTCATCCAGTTCTTCCTGTATGTGAGCTCCCTCCTCCTCTGTACTGAGGGTGGCTTCCAACCTTTGCTCACCAGCAGATTTCATTAAAATTCTTTTAATAACCACAGACTTCTTAAGCTTAACCCTCACTGGGCTACATGGCATCACAGGTTATCTGCTTTGTGAAAGCCCCTTCACAGTTTCCCTTATGCCCTCATTTTCCATTTCTCTCTGAACAGACTGCCAACTTCTATTTACTTGTTTATTTTTAAATTATTAACTATTTTCATATACTGACTCTTTTATCCACAATGGAGGAGTTTTTCCTCTTCAGAGGCATTTTCGCTCTCTCTTGCAAAGCTGCAGGTGGCATTGCTTACTTTAAATATTTGCACATTAGAAACACAAAATGTGTTAAACCCATCTATCAATTACATTGCTTTAACTTGCACAGAGAACTCAGAGACAAAGCACTGCTCTGAAGATGATACAGTCAAGCAAAACAATTGGGTATTTATAGATACATATATAAAATTAGTACTAAAAATGAAAGTAGGCTTATTTAGGACATGTCACAGTATTCAATAAGAACATTCATTAGGAATCTAAATTGAGTTGGAATGATGTTAAAGCAATTCCAAATAGTAAAAAAAAAAAAAATTAAAAAAAAAAAATTACAGGACACTACTCGTAAGGGTTTTAAAAAAATATGCCCATAAGAAATTCCTCATCAAGACTTCCCTTTTTCCTCAAAGGGTTCTATCCAGATGTCTCCCTGCTTTATTAGTTTCTCTACTAAAGGAGCAGTTGCAGCAACAATTCAGTTGCTTAAGCAGAGTCAGACAGTCAGACTTGGATTGCCAAGTATATTGTACCTTCAAACTCACCCACAACCCTGTTCTAGAAGTATCACAACTACATCTACTCACCTTTGCTTAATTTCTCAAGTCATGCTATAAATCTAGGTGCAGATTCTGAGCAGCAGCGCCAGGATTTTCTGCACTTAACAGCTGGGCTATGCACATTCATTATTAAAATAATTTAAGACATACTTGGGTTTCTCTAAATGAAAAAAAAAATTTAGAAGTTCGCAAGAATTCTTTCTTCTTAAAGTCCCTGTTAAATCTGGATACTGAAAGAGGAACTTCTTCTCCTTTGCTTGTCTGAAATATAGCCTGTGATCATGGTTCATGAAATGCAATCAACAGCCTGAGGTCCCACAAGTTTGTTTTGCACAGGATTTGTGTATAGTTTGGCCTCAGGTTCCCAACAAACTCATTATACTCTCCAATGTTCAGGAATTCATAGGATTCCTAGTAAAACACAGGCAATAATATTTCATAATCTCAATAGTTTTTCTTTAAAAACAATGTATAATGTGGCACTAGTAGAGTATTTGACAGTCTCAGTAGTTATACCGCTCTTGCAACTTCCAAAGTAAGTGTGGGCTGCTTCTATACATCAGGGATTGCAGGCTGAAAACTTCATCTCCTGCTGCAGCAGCAGCATACAGTTTCTAAATAGCTGTCCCACTAACCTAGTTACATGCCCAAAAGCAAGCAGAAGTTTGATCCAAATGCCACTGGTAACACTGCTCTGCCATCTGGATTAAAGCTATGGGATATACTGAGACTTTGTGACTGAAACACTTGCATGAAAATCCACTTGTATACCTGCCAGCTAGGTGCTTGGTGTTCATTTTTCTTCTCTTTCTCTACCTCCAGGAGAATTTCCTTCCTTTTACTGTTAGGTAAAAAAGTCCATTCTACAGTCACATCCTTCTCTACTACTCTCATTCCTACTTTCCCCTACCTGCTTCCATAACACAATGCGTCTTGTACACCTATTCCCTCCATCTCTCTACAGTACCTAAGAAACAACATGGCAGGGAATCAGGTGCATTCCAGAAGGTGTACGTTGACTGAAAAGATGCTTGCAAACATGAGCCTGCGTGCCTAAGGCTGGTGGATTTCTGTGCAGCTAAGCCAACAAAACAGCTGGTTGCTGGGGCAAGAGTCAGTTCCCAACTCCCTGACCTCCCCTCTGCGCCATTATGAATGAGTCCAGCAAGAACAAAGGTGGACGCCAAAAAGCAGTCAGAGTGAGGATGGGAAGAGAGAGGGAACTTGACCTGCCACCTTGCTTAACTGTGAACTATATCCCCTTACTCAGCCTTGTGGAACCGTGCCCTAAGATTACAGGCACGAGGCAGCATGGCCCTGCAAGGAAGCAGCAACGTCACCTCTCCATTCATCTCTGCAGTGTCCCCCTCCCATGTGCTGACAAAGCTCTCTGCACAGCTGTATAATTAATTCACCCACTTCAGCCACCTTCTTTTTCAGACAGATCAGTTTTCCAAGCTGGTTCACTAAATGTCTGTACTGTGTCTGTGCCATACAAGGAAAAATGGGCATTGCAGTGGCAGGAGGCTCAGTGCAGAGTGGGACTCTTCCCTTAGCATTTTCCCTGACAAAAGAATAAACGTAGATTCAAGCAATGACTGCAAGTTACAATTGTGCAACCAGTCATCTTCACTGGGCAAGAAAAACTTGACCTTACCTTAACGCTCTCTTCCTTTGGAGCAATCGTGAAGGTTTAAATTTGACTGAGTTTTCTTTGTCAAAATCTGTGAAATGAAAAAAACCACACCATAGTGAAGATGCTTTAATAAAGAGGGAACTTTTAGGAAACTAGGTTATAGTCTCCAATCATAGTCCTCTTCCACGGGAAAAGACTGTACAAAGGTCTTCCCTCTGGTCAAAGGAGCATAAACTGGCATGTCCAATATGGTGATAAACAAAAGCCTTGCAAAAATGAATACAGACAGTAAACATATCAAAAGCGTCAACATTTTGTGGAACTGCCATGTTCTAATCCCAGTATTCATGGTGTAGCACTGCAGCCTGGGGCTATCATTTAAACTCCTTGACTCAGTTTCCCAGCTTATAAAATCAGCGGTAGACATGTTTATGAAGCACTCTGCAAATGAGAAATGCTGCAAGCAGCAAAAGCCTTTTTGGCTGCAGCCTAGCAATACTATAAAAAAAAAATGCATATTCACTGCAGAAGTCAGGGATGCCCAGCTGAGGATCTGTTGCAACAACAGTATTACACCATCCATGACAGAATGTTTCTGAAGGTTGTCTACTGTTTGGAATCTCCCATTTTTTTCTGAATAGCCTTAGAACATGCTGACTTTCAGAGAGGAACACATGTTTACACTGAGAGCAAAACTCTGTCAGATGCAGCCTTATATTCAAAAAGTATGTATTACAAAGCCACTAGTTCCCAAACCTTTGTGAACCATAACAAGCAATGGGCAATCTCCCCTCTCTCTCCCTAGATTTAACTTTTTCATTTCTGCAGGCAAGAGCATCATCAGAGGGTCTAAACAATGACCAGTGGCAAGGGGGACCAGTGCTCCCAAGTACTGGCTGCCTCCATTCAACAATGAGGATGCTATTAAGAGACCTTGGAGAACTGCTAGCCAGGGAGCAGGGGAGCACCTGGTCTGTGACTGCTGTTGAAAAACACATGAAGCTACTAATAAATTACTCCCAATGGGAAAATTGCCTTCTGTCCCATCTGTATTAAGTCAACTACCCTAAGACCCTAAATTAATAAACAATTGGTCACTGACGCAATGCTCATTTTATTTTTCAAAGACAGACCTGAATATTACACAACCTGGACTTTAGAACGTTTCAAAAGCAGCAACATCCCTTTTACTCTACCTCAGAACTGAGATTTAACCATTTCAAAGAAGAATTAACTGGCAAAAATTATTTTTTGCTTATACAAAATATTTTAAAATCTAGGTAGGCTGTTTCTTATTTTTGCAGAAAGGGTTTAGTGAAACTTATAGCTGACAACATGGGTCTTAATTTAGAGAATGTATCTTTTGTCTATGCCTTTCAAAACTTTTCACCCTCCTCCTCTCTTCCATGTCTTTCTGCTACCTCTCCAGGTAAACACATTTTTTTTTTAAAAAAAAAAAGGTAAAAGAGAAAAAGACCATTTTAACAGCTTGACAAAGAGGCTTAAAATGTGCAAAAAGGCATTTTTTAGGCATCTGCTACAAGTCACTGCAGATTTCAAGCAGCTTTGCTAACAGCATTCTTCAACTTTAATATGCAACTTTTTCCTGGTTTTGTTAACATTCATGTTCTCTTTCCAAGTAAATGGAGAATAAAGCACACAGATTACACAGAAACATCTTGTCAGACCAAAACAGAGTATTATAAGAAAAACAGTACGAATGGTATATAAATCATTATATTTTACACTACAACATTAAAAAGAATAGTCCATGCCATAAGTATCCTTTAAAAAGGCCAGATTTACATTACTGTGAGAAGAGTATGCAGTAACTTAAAAAGCCCAGCTCAGTATCAGCTTAACTAATCAGAACCAGGCATATGTTAAATTTATAGCCATTCTAACGGGATATAACCCATCCTATAGTTTCTGGCACTAAACCAGCTGTCCACCATGAAAACCACAAGTAAACCACAGAGAAATTCTCCCTACCCTAGCCAAAACTGGAGAGGGGTATATGAGAAGGGACGAAAGTAGCTTTCATTGCTTCGCTGGGAGAAGGGAGGGAGAAGGGCTGCTAAGAGGGGGCACACAAGCCGGTCTGACTCTTCCTACCCATTAAACACATTTAGTAACATTCATACATACCACATCTATAACACCTCAAAAACATCTTAAAACTTTGCTGTATTTCACGGGGGCACGCGCCTCTCTTCCCTCCCCCCCCCCCCAAACACAGAAAACCCATCCAGACAATTACATTCTGTTACACTGTTTTGATATTTTATGTATTTCCTCCTGTTCAAATTAAACCCCCATGTGGGAGGATTAAAATCCAATAAAACTTACTTACTACAATATGGAAGTCTTTTAAAATTATACAAACACAGGAGAAAAAGTAAAACAACTCTGCTTCAAAATAAAATAAATATGCCCACAAGAGAAATATCAATTTAACACAGTCTTAATTCAATGGTTAATTGAAAGAAAAAAACCCCACCCTCACAGTACCTGATACACAGAAGGAAAATCTTTGCAACAGCATTTTGTTCCTTCTTTCACTGAAGAATTCTAAACATGCTCATAACCACATTCAAACAATTTTAAATATTTGTATTTAAAATTAAGAGCGTATTTACTGAAGTGTAAATCAAACTTGCTCACAAGTTTAACCATTTGTTCAGTCTAGTCCCCCTCCCTTTTAGGTACAAACTACCAGATAAAACCGCTATCCATAGTTTAATACATAGGAAATTAAAAATGCTGAATTAAAAAAAAAAAAGTAGATGCAACCTTCCAGTATTACTTAGTATATTTAAAGGCCTTAAGTCGGTGGCAAGCTAAGCTAATTAAAAGATCCATCTAATCGGATCTTTCAAAAGTGTCCTTTAGGAAATAATGAAATAGCCTAGGTGACTAACTGCATACTGATTGCTAAAGTAGCTAATGTAGCTGCAGAAGATCCAGTCAAACAGTATTTACACATGCATACATATATACGAGAGAGATTAAACACACACAAATGAACTGCATTTTCTTCTATCTACTTGGAATTCTTACCTTGCTCCTCAGAGTATTTAACATTTCCCAAATAGCTGGAGATCCAAGGATTTCTGAACATGGTTGCACAAACAAAGGATTCAGCAAAGAGAAACTACAATAGCAGCTAATTCTCAACCAGCCACAGCCCTAGGCCTGTCTTAGCAATATCGTGTAGAGATTTTTCATAGCACAGGACTGGAGCTGTCAGGCTATCGCGTCCCAGGGAGTACAGTAAATGCATAGCAATAGGCTGCAAGCTGGAGCAGCTCAAGCCAGTAATCAGATTACAAACAGAAATTAGGCACATGAATGCTAAAACAGATTGGGCAATGGTGATTGGGAGATTTATAATATTACCACTTCAAAGATCCAGCCAAATCACACATTATATTCCTGCAAAACGAATGCAGAACCCCTAAATCCTCATATTAAAAAAAAAAAAAAAGAAAAAAAAGAAAAAATCTCCAAGAAGAGGAATAATTCCTTCCTATCTCTAATCAGGATAAACTGCAATGCTTGCTTAAGAAAAACAGCATCCAGGCTGCCAAAAAAATGGACTTTGTTAATCATATCATTATGCTAAACGTTTTGCCTAACTATTTAGTTGGAATGTTTAAAACAGACAAGATTTATGGATAACATATGAGCAAAATTACTGGTGGGTGTGGGGAATTAAGAACAGACACCACAACTCCAAATATTTTAATTTGAGACAGAAGGTGTAAAATTGCACAAAAGTACTGTCTAGCTACCATATTTTTTTATTAAACAGATTTGATGGATTTTGGATTGAAGAGTCAGAACCCTTTATAGTTCATTTTGAAAGTCTGGAAGTATTTGTTCAAAATGGTGCAATAACCCTGGCTCAGTCTTCCACACTAAACTACCTGATCATCTAACACACACACACACAGAGAGAGAGAGAGCGCATTAAATATGTGAGTGAAACAGGTCCATGCACTTAACTCCATCCAACCAAAGGCAGTAAGTGCCTACTAGCTTCCCTCCAACAGGCTTCTTCCCTTCAAAAAGATTTCAACTACTATCAGTAGAAAACTCACCACAAGGCTGGGGTAGCCTAGAAACACAAGACTGAAGTTCTTGACTTTTCTTACCTGTTTTTATGATACCTGGTACAACAGGACCCCGATCCATGCTGGGAACCTCTATGTACAGGCAAAATATAAGCAATGATGCTGTGAAAGACTGCTTAACCACAAATGAAAAATATAATCTATCAAAAACCTACTAATTTCTGTTGGGTCACCATGAAGTTGTGTTTAGCCTGTCCAGGTCATAAAAACACTGCTTTTCATGCTAGCAAGTTCTTAGAATGGATAGAAGAATATGCGCTCCATCTTGTCTAATACCCCTGCTATTTGTATTCATTTATTTATTTTTAAACATGAATAATGTTGTAGTCACCTTAACCGAAGCACCTTTTATTAGCTGATCTTTCAACAGTACAGAGCACCCTGGAACAAGAGACCCAACATATGGAACATGGCATTGAAGCCTGACTCACCAAGTAATATCCTCTGTTCAGAAATATTTGATGGTATGTACCACATTTTTTTCTTTGCCTGCAACCTTACTGGCTCTCGCGTTTAATTCTAACCACTTCACAGCACTACCCACAGAACACAAACCTAACACTGCTGTGCTCTCTTGACCAGCTGCGAAGGCCTACATGTACTCGAGCCTAGTAAATACAAAAGCAGTAACAAAAAATGCAATCTGTCGACACTGGTCCAAACTTGCCATTAACCTGAAAATCCACTTTACAGCCTAGACATAAGTGCAGGTGTGCTTATAACACAAAAACGAGACAGTGCAGAAATAACAAAGCAACTGCTGGCAACAGCTAACGGGGACATTCTGGACCAGTATCTATGTGGGTATATCAATAAAAAAGACACCCAGTTCTGAAAAGGTCCCTTCTTTCCAAACTCTGCTTGTGTGAAGGCTGCTTACTTGATCTTGTGAATAGAGGTATTATTACCTGGAGCATTTTTAAGCACCTGTAACTCATCTGGTACACAGTAA